TTAAATCCAACTTGTCTTCTTGTATTTTCTGTGATTGCCTTTGTGCTTGCAGCACCCAGTTATTTAGTTAAGCAAGATGGAGCAAATTTTTTCTGGAATACTTAACAGCCACTCAAACATCCTCTGTGCTCTCATTTTTCCTATTTCATCATCTTATGGTTCAAAACATTTCGTAAAACTCCTGTTCTAGCTTCCAAGGCTATGGGTAATCTTGGAATCGGCTTAAAACCCTTTCACATTATTCTGAGACCTACAATTCCCCATCCAAGTAGTTGGTACTAGAAAGACAGAGACAGAGACACAAAATAAATTCACCCAATTGAAAACTGGCCTAACAAAGCTAACACACATACTAACGGCCATATTTATCCCTTGGGCATCTGTCTTGAGGCAATGATAAATCTTTGACTGCACAGACCTTGGATGTGGACAAAACTGAGACCAGAGATGCCAATAAGTGTAGCATGAATATGGATGGGGTGCGGACCAGCTGCACCCCTGTTTAAGATGCCAAAAAGCTCAGAGTCTATTATTAAAGCTCTGCATCTCTAATGGAAGCACCATGCTCTGTGCTTCACAGAAATGAATTTAAGGTTAGACTACAGAGCTACTACAATCAAGTGAACCAGGAATTTGGGTTCTAGTTTTTATGTGCCCATGATCTTTAAGCATAAACATGTGGCCTGCTTATAGAAATTAATATTTGGATAATTTTGTCAACACACTGCAACAACCACTCCAGCTGCCAAAGAATCAAAGAACAACCTCACCAGAGAATTAAAAATATGCATCATCATCTAGACCTTCATATCTTCCCTGATCTCCTGGAAATCCATTACAGCCCACGGGAGTAGCAAGGGTCCTGCCAACTACTCATTTCATCAGCAACTCCTTTAGGTGAGGAATAAATTGAGACCCCTTTGTATTAATGATGGTTAGTTTCCCTGTCTACACAGACCCCAAATATCTCAGAGGCAATGGGTGAGGAAATCTGTTTTCCATACTGGCAAAACTTAAGCCCTAAAAAGATCAAGGGCTCCAAAAGCCATCCAGACAAAATAAAAACAGAGAGAAAGAGATGACAGCCCTGTCTGCAGATTCCCCATCAATCTCGTAAGCCCATCAATCAAATGGCACACACAAGGACAGAAGCAACAGTAAATCTGGAATCATCAACTGGGTTGTTTTAACTGATCATTATTTAAACAATGAGGAAGAAAACCACGTGATTTTTGTCTACTGGGGATCCGGTCAGAACAAGGCCAAAATGAAGTGATGGTCTTGATTTCATGATTAAAATGTTCCATAACAAAGAGCCTTGACTATGCATTGTCCTTTCTGCCTGGTGCCACATTTAGCCAAATACAGACATGGACTATCCAAGTAAGTCCAAGCCATTGCAACACATGTGCCTTCAGCCTGCATGGAGGAAGATCATATTCCCAAGCAGCAAGAATACCCACCAATAATCAAAGTGACTGACAGATATTAACATTAGAGATGTCATCACCAGAATTGGTGAATGGGCTGGGCTCCAAAATTTTGAGTTTGGCTAATTTTCAGTATACTCAGCACCTATTTTGTAATTAGTAGGTTTGTCCCTGTACCCCCAAATTCTGTTATTTAATGTCCTTGTTGTAACCGCACAACAATGTTTGATTTGTGGGTTACCCCATGCATACCAATCTTACCAGTGAGGTTAGGGTAGTTAGTTCCTAATCATTCAGCATCCTCTGTAAACAGCATTTCCTCATGTGCTCTGCAGAATATATATATATATATATATATATATATATATATATTCCATAAAAAATGTTTGTGGTTAAATAAAATTGGGAAATCCTGGGTCTAAATTATATGGGTTTCCTTCCTGCAGGACTTCTCAGAACATTTAATGTGCCAACGAGCACTGTGAATCTCTAAGAAACGCATATGATTTGCAGCATTTCACCACATTATTTGACCACAGAACCGTTTTATGAAAAGCTGCTGGGGAGCAGGAGATGGGCACAATTTTTAGAATATACTCTGGAAAATGTTGTCTTAAAGGTCTGCCCTCCATGATTTCCAAGTAAGTAACAAATAGGAAGGAGCTCCCCAGGGGCAATACACACTCCTTTGGAAGCCTCCTATCTTTTCTGATGGACGAAGGATAGTGTTTGGGACATTGAGAACAGAGGGCTTCTCAGGACATCTCAGAACATCTATCTGAGCCATGTGAGAAACTCTTTGTCAGTCCATTCAATCAACAATCACATATAGAGATTCCAAGGGGCACCTGGGTGGCTCAGTGGGTTAAGATCAGGTCAAGATCTCAGGGTCCTGGGATTGAACCCTGCATTGGGCTCTCTGCTCAGCAGGGAGACTGCTTCCCCCCCTCTCTCTCTGCCTGCCTCTCTGCCTACTTGTGATCTCTCTCTGTCAAATAAATAAATTTTAAAAAAATCACATATAGAGATTCCACAACATATCAGCAGCTGAGCATTTAAAAAAAAAGTTTGAGACTGCTTTAACTTTGCACAGTGAAGACGGAGCTTACAGAGATAATAAGATACTAAAAACAGGCCTTAAAAGATAACCCCAGGGGTCCAAGTAGGCAGAGGGAGACATTTTTTTTTTCAGGGAGGGGTGGGGCACAGAGGGAAAGAAAGAGGGAGAACCTTAAGCAGGCTCCACACCCAGTGCAGAGGCCAACATAAGGCTCGATCTGAGATCATGACCTGACCCGAAATCAGTAGTTAGACTCTTATCCAACTGAGACACCCAAGCACCCCCAGAGGGAGATATTTTAAGGAGAATGAACTATATAGAGAGGCAAGGATGCCTGCCAAGACATTGTTCTGCTCCCCTGAGCACTGCTTCACAAAGTTTCTATACACGCATTAAGTCATACATTGACATTTTGTAATGTGCTCCCCAAAGAAATGGGAGTCAGTGCTTGAAGGAGTTGGAGAAAACGTGCTGTTCTGCATGGACTGCTGTAGGATGAAAATCCACCCATCACTGGACTGGAGCTCGCTCACCTGGGAGATAGGGATGTTGCTTCATTTAACATTAAGAGCAACCCCAGAACACCAAGATGTGGTATATTGCTACAAAATATTGGAAATTCATGCTAAGAATGATGGCGGTAAAGTGGAGGGGAAAGAAATATTGTTTATTGATATACATGTAAATTGTTTAGCAATTTACATAGTTTGTCTCATTTAATGATGAATTAATTGTATGCATACATATTTACATCTTGTGTTTTAATTTAGAGTGCTTTCATATCCATTATTTCTTTTGATCTTCAGGAGAATTCTGTGAGCTTGAGTGGGGCAGGTGTGACCAGCCCCTTTGTACAGAGAAGCAGAAGGCTTCTGATAGTTAAGTGATTAGCCCAAGGTCACACAGTAAGTTGCAATATTAATACTAGAAACCAAGTCTTCAGATTCCCAGTCTTATGTCCTTGATTTGTGTTTGTCATACATTACTTCAAAAGACTGAAGGTATAGAGAAGTAGACTTATGCCCAATATAAGGTGAATCTTTCTAAAACTCACAGCTTTTCAACAGTGGACTAGGCTGAAATGGTTATAGAGTATATCCTTGCCATATGCGGGAGATTAAATATCATGGCTTCTCAGTTCCCTGTCAATGCTAATATCCAGTGATCCTAAAATTCCTAGGTTCTACTTCTCCAAGATGAGGTTTCCAGTGATTAAGCCTATTCCGGGGAAGCTCCTGTTTATTATATACCTGGTCCTCAGGAAAGAGATACTCTTTGAGAGATGCTGAGGAGTTTGGACTTTTCCCACTGTGGGTAAATTCATTGCTTTGGTACAACACACACAAATCACATACAACCAATGCTTCCAGGTGTTGCTCAGATCACAAAATGAGGAACAGATAGAGGTCCCAAATTTAGAAATGTTCTCACATACATGAGTTTGAGTTTTACCAGAAATGTAAAATCTTGAAACACCACAGTCTATGTCAGAAATTTTTGGAGGAGCCATAGTTCTGCATTTGAACACTCATCAGTCACGCTGATGCATAGAGTCTGCTTCTTTTGAATCTATCTAGTTGTTCAAGCACCAAAGATATTTTAAGGGGTAGAAAGTATGGACTGATAATAATCCACAGTTGTCTTCTCTGATGGGAGACCAGGATTCCCTTTAGAGCCACCAGAACCAGCCACTGTTCCAATTCCTTTGGAACGTATTTTGTCATACAATTACGGCTCCCTATGTTCAAGAGAATGGTGCATCTGTCTGATGGAGACGCCTGGCTGCATTCTTTCCCAGATATTAATATAGGTGGCACTTTAGTAACATAACCAATGACATGAAGAACCTGATTTGGAGAGGAACAGATGGCAGCATCTTTCTTGGGCTAATTTTAGGATCCTGAAATAGTCCCTTTCTCACACAAAACCATCAGTGGAACCAAATTAAGACAGCTATGTCACATGGAAAAGGGAGAAAGAAAAAACGTGGTCTAGTGTGAGGCAAAGACAATGAACCAAACACTTCAGTGCTCCCCCTGTATCTGAGTCCTTTCATCAACTATGAGGGGTTATTTCAACCTCTTTTCACCAGAATGGACCCTGAACACAAACAAGAGACTGCCTCAGAAAAAAGGAGCCAACAAACCTTATTTTGAGTCATATGCATCAAACGATCAAGGTTGCATTGCATAATAGCTACATTACTATTCATAAGAATGTATAGGACCTAGATTCTAGGTCCTCTGCTTAGTAGACCAGAAAGTTGAGGTTAAGTGACCATTCAACTTGAAAAGACAGAAGCAGAATGAATTTCAAAGGCTCAGACATATGGTCCATTGCTTGCTCTGCTGAAAAGACCTTTCTTCCCAGGGAGACCTAAAATATCAGGTAGCGATAATGGAGGTGGAGGAAGAGACCCCCCAACCCAAAAATGATGCCTCAGGTACAGGGTGGGCATCCAGGTATCTGGAACAACTGAGAAGAAGAGTACTTTGAAAAAAAGTACTTACCTGTTTTCCATCCAGTGTGTAGAGTTTTTTGACAACCCCAGTCTCCAGCTTGATGGCTTCAGTGATATCAGTGAGGACTTGCTCAAAAGAGTGGGCTGTCTTCTTGTTCAGAAGCACACGTACGGCCTTCCGAGGCTTCACCCCGCTGCGGATGATGGTCACCAGCTTGGGGCGCACAAAGTCCTTGTTCTCTCTGGCCTGGGCACTATTGCTGCTAGCCAGGGACTGGGGGGCTTTCATATTGGCAGAAGTCTTCACGTTGACAGACCAGTTGGGATTGACATTCTTGGTGTACTCCACCTTTTTAAAGAAGTTGTCTGAGGAACAAACATAGCTTTCCCCTAAGGGAAGAAATAAGTGGTAATTAGTTGAATAGCAGATACTTGGACTATTCTAACCAAACTCATGCACACTGACCTTGGAGTAGGACTTTTGGATATACGGTGATAGTAACCAACTGTAGGCACAATTTCTAACTGGACTGTCTAACAACTCACCTCGTTTCAAATTCAGGGGCAAGTCATCAGCAAAACATTCTTCATTATAATGGCATACCTAAGTTGACAAATGCTATAAAGCTAAGGGTTTCAAGGACAATGAACACATCTAAATATAATCTAATAAACCAGGTTCTCAAGCTTCGTAGGATTTTACTGCAGTCGAAATGCCTATGTCAGTTTCTCAGATGTTTGTTAATATCTAGGAGGCATTACTGGAGTGTTTTTAATGTGTCTCTATTTCTTAATGTTCCTGTCCTGTTTCTGAACTCATAGCCCCATTCCATGGTTATAGTATAAACCAAAGAGAACTCTCAGAATGGATACAGTTTATTCCAAGTTAAAGTGACCCAAGTGTCCTTGCATATTGGGCATAGAGTTCATATTTCCGAGAAGCCAGATTGTCCTTTGCACAGAGTATATGGCTAAGTAGTAGAATACTGAAATGTGAAATGTGTGTGTGTGTGTGTGTGTGTGTGTGTGTGGTGATTATATATACGTGATGTATGTGTGTATAGTTGTGTCCTTCATTGCTCACCCCCAAACCCAAGTGGAAAAACTGTCTAAATAACAACATGCATGCACACACACACACACACACACACACACCGTTGCTTGTGTTTGCAAATCTAGCCATTGCTTGAGAAATACTTTCCTCTGTTTCCACCACCCAACCCTCATCTTTCCATTTTCCTAAACACTACACCCTCGATCTGTGTGTTCAAGGCCATCTTCACCAGGGCTCACCCTTGGCTGCCACAAGTAATGAGGTGGAGATGTGAGAATACATTATACAGCCAGATTTATGGATTGGAGGAATCTAGCATAATTTTCACATTTACCTTGGGCTGGAGGAAATGACTAACACAGCGGAAGAAACACAGGGGCCAGAGGCAAGGGGCAGGAGTGGGAGATTAGGCACCTGGGACTAGAAGCTAGAGAAAAGAGGAAGAGAGGTAGGCTCAGCCTGGGGGAGAGAGAGTATTGGAAAATGTTTCGTAAAACACATTAGCCTCAAGGTATACAGAAGTTCATCCAGAGGTCGAGCTGCAGAAAACTAGTGTGAGTTAATCAGGCTTAACTCATCAGTAATAACTCTAAATAAATAAGTAAGTGAACCCTGGCCAGGGCAAAGAAAGCATTAAACACAATTATAGTCTGATGGCTCTTCCTTTGGTCTCAGCAGGAGAACCACGCAGGGACATTCAGAAGCTCTGGATTGATAACTCACTCCTTTTGCAAATATCGATTGCTTTGCTGTAGCACCAAATCCTTTAAGTTGTGTAAATTAATAAATTTCTCACTTAGTGAGGAGAGAAGATTCAGTCAGATTCTCTAGGGCACTTTTGTGGACATTTATGTCTATGTGTGAAGGGGACGGGTGAGGGGCTTCCAACACTGCCCTGAGTCCCAGAGGCTATTAGTCTTCTGTCTTGACAGGATCAAGGGATGGTTTGTAGGTGAACATGGGCATCCTCTCCCACTTGATGCACATGCACACACAAACACACACACAGACCTCCAGGATGGAGTAGTCAAAGAATTCAACCAAAAGAAACCCCAATTTCTCTGGCTCCCTTGCTGGCTAATCCAACCTAACCCAAGTGATTAGAGGCTAGGGTCTTTAGTTTGTGACTTAGAATGGTGAAGGGGCCCTTTCAATTCCATCTATTCACAGCCAATATCCCCTACACCCTAGAAATGGCCCCTCACATTAGCATGCCACTGGATTCACAGGTACCTTCCAAGAGGCTAGTGCCTTTGAGTCAGATGTTTTCCATAACTTGTCAAGTACTTTAAGACTCTGACAACTGGTAGTGTAGAAATGTGTAAGGCTATATATTTATGATTTCACTCATCTACAGTCTCCTCTAGAGAGTCAGCTGTGTAGCCCTATTGGGACTCCAGACGTATTTTGCTCCCATCTCTTAAACCTCTTAAGCCTCTGAACTATGAGTGTGATTAACCACCCCCAGATGAAAATGAACATGATGGCAGACAGCTATAGTATCATATGGCACCAAGAACTTTCCGGAGGGCCCAGCTCTCAGCCAAATCTATGTTGCAGTCCTTCCAACAGTACATTTTAGTCTCTCCATTCACTCCTTTTGGCCCCAATATGGAGTAATGGAAAAAGAACAGCTGATGTGATGTCAGTAGGAATGGGGTCTCCAATACACAGTTGTGTGTCCTTGGGCAAGTTACCTAACCTCCCCTGGCTTCAGTTGCTAGTCTGAAAAGTGGGAATGATAATAACAGTACCTACCTCACAAAGTGGGAGCAAGGCACAAATCAGAAGGTGGCTAGCAAGTGCTGAGCCCAGAACCTTGTGCACGGTAAGCACTTGATAAGACCCACCTCTCGTTATCATTAAACCCCTAATCTGAAGGAATGGAGAGAGAATAAGAAAAAAAGAGCAAGGAGGAAAGGAGGAAGAAAGGGCTGAGAGAAAGGAGATGAAAAGAGGAAGAGCGAAAGCCCAAGGAAAGAAAAGAGAAAGAAGCAAGGGCAGCCATCTTGGAACTGAGCTATGATGGTTACATAGTACGACCACTGCCCAGGCCTCAAAGATAAGGATTTCCTGCTGGTTAAGAGGAAGTGTCTGGTTGCTGAAAATGCCATACCCAGGAGCTCAATGGTTAACCCCAGCGAAGCCACTTGCTGCCACTGCCGATGCACACTGAGGGCAGGATATTTTGTAAGACTTTATTTTTTTTAGGGCCATTCTAGGTTCACAGCAAAATTAACGGGAAGGGGCAGAAATTTCCCACATGACCCCTGTCCCCACACACGCATAGCCTGCCCTGTAATCAAGCAGCCCCTACCAGAGGGCGGGATATTTATGGCAGTTGAGGGCAGCACCTTGGGGAATCATACAGACCTGAATTCTGGTCCCAATCAAGCCTTTATGAGCAGTGTGACCTCAGGGAAATCACTTAATCTCTGAGTCCCAGCTTTTCCATCATCAAATTGAAGGTATTACACTAAGCGACATCTCAGTCCCCTTCCCTCCCTAAAGGTCTCTAAGAAGGAATTTTCTTCTCTTTTCCAACCCCAGAAGGCAGTAGGAGGTAAAGTTATTATGGTCATTAAATGTTAAAGAAATAGGTGCCTACTACTGAGGACTCTCCACTTGTACTACTAGAAAGACATCAAAGGCGCTCCTTCTCTAGACCAAGGCCTCCTTGTCCTGATTTTGCAAACATCTGCAACGTCTGCTGCCAGAGCTCCATGCTTCCTGCACGCCCAACTCCCTGGCACTTGGAGCTGGATGAGGCGTGTTTCAACTTTACACAGCTGGGTTCCCATCCTGCCACAGCATCCAAGGGCCATTTCCCACCCATAGAGAGCCTAGAAGGCAAGCTAGCTTCAGAGGCAAGCAAGGCGACAATTGGCTGGAACTGACAATCTGCTTCAGGATGAGGGGGTAAGGAAATGAAGTCATGGAAGCACAGCTGAAAGTGCAGGAAGGGAGCAAGCTGTGGGCTCAAGATGATCTAATGTCTACCTCCATTCACTTTCAGTAGGCCACATTTTCAAAAATATTTAATGCATTCATGTTTCCTCAGTGCAGAATCACTTCTGACTGGGCTTCCTCCTCTTTGCCAGGGCTTCCTCACTCAAGAAGGAAAATATTAAATGATACTTTATTGTATCCTCATATCTATTAATGATGCATCTCTCTCCCAGGTATCTTTAAATCCTTCTCCTTGGCGATGTGCCTGCTTTAGTAGCTGAAGGATAAATTAATGGGAGGTTGGTTTCATTTCATCTCATCTCCTTTCAAATGAGCTATGGCAAAGGAACTGGATCATAACTAGTGTCACCATTCAACTCAGATTTTCAAACAAGACTGTCCCAGTTGGAAATATTCTGTCCCATGGTCCATGTAATAATGCTCAAAACAGTACCCGTAAGATTGATCTGGGTACTCACAAACAAGGAACTGGGGAAAGAATTAGGCAGGAAAGGAAGGAGAATGACTTAGAGATGGAAGACTAAGCAAGACAAAAGGGAAAGTCACTGGTGGGTTTCATTCATTGACCCACTGGGAATATGACTAATACATATATGACCACAGCCTTCATGGCTTCACTGACTCTTTGTGTACCTAAGGAGCTGTGGAAAAGCTGACATAAATAACCTGATTTGGGCCCAAAACTTTCCCCTTGTGACTTTCAGTATCTAACAGACAGTAGACTAGAGGTATTAGACAAGGAGTATCACAGGCCATAGTGATTATTAACCTATTGTTTTTTATTTCATTTTATTTTAGTCTAAATATTTAACAAAGTGGCCATTTGAAAACAGTATGTTCTATGCTCCATCATTCCTTTAAGATCTACAAAACAAAAAAGCAAAACAAAAACAAGGCCTTCTGTACTCCTAGGAACTCCCACCACTGTAGTTATCTGAAAGGAACCTCAAGATCACCTAATCCAGTATTTCTCAAGTTTAAGTGCTCATAAGAATCATCTGGGAACATTTATAAAAAGACAGATTTGGGGGCCCTATCCCTGGAGATTTTGATTCAGTAGATCTGGGGTGTGACCCAGGAATTGATATTTTTCCAAGTCTCTGAAAGTTTGTGAAAGGCAGCCAGGTTTGGGAACCTCTGGCCATCCCAACCCCTCACTAGCATCATCATTATTATTACTTTTTTTTACATCACTAACAATAATACCTTGTAACTGTAGTTTTACCTTGTCTGTATGTTTTTCTATCTATTTCTCATTATATCCTCTCAACCACCCTGATAGATAACAAAGGCAGGTGTTACTAATCTCTTTCTACAGATAAGAGTATTACAACAGGGACACAAGATGTGGCCCATACATGCAATGGAATGTTATTCCTCCATAAAAGGGAAAAAAGTGCTGATACAAGGCACAACACAGATAACCCTTGAAAATATTTTTCTAAGGGAAGGAAGCCAATCACAAAAGACCACATGATGTATGATTCAGTTTATATAAAATGTATGATTCAGTTTATATAAAATGTCCATAATAGACAAATCTATAGAGACATAAAATAGGTAGGTTGTTGCCTAAGGTTGGAGGCAATGAGGGAAATGGGCAGTAACAGCTAATTGGTGAAATCTGGGTGAATAAAATGATCTAAAATTAGATTACAATGATAGTTGTACCACTTGGTAAATTTTCTAAAAACCATTGAATTGTACACTTAAATGCGTGATTTTTATGTTATACAAATTATACCTTAAAATGGTTGTTTTCTTCAGAAATGCTGTTTTGAAAAAAAGGTTATTCACAGTGATGATAAGGACAGACCTATGGTCATGTCGTTAGCAAGCTATAAACAAGGACAACTCAACAGTCATAGATATCCTTTACTGAGTGTTACTCTATGCCAGGAATAATAGTACACTTCATGTTCATTGTCTTATTTAATCCTCAATTAGTTATTTTCACTTTACAGATGAAAAACTGAGGCTCAAGGAGTCTAAATGGTTTCCCCAAGGTCACACGAGCTAGCAGGTGGCAGATCTTGGATTGACAATTTGATTCCAAGGATTTCTTTTCCTGTGATAACCTTCTGCCTCTATGACTAGAACCCACTAACTCTGATTCTTCATCAGGAATCTTTCCAAACTTTTCCAGTGTGAAGTCTCTTGGGGAGCAGTGTGTATGAATGTCTTTAATCTTTCATTCAACCTCCTCCAATGGTGAGTAAGGCAAGGGACTTCTCTCCTCCACTTCCTAGAAGGGAAGTTCCAAAGGACAAAACAGGAGAGAAAAGAACTTTTCCCTCTTTATCTTGCTTATCCCAGTACCCTTTCCCATCTGACTCTGCAGCAGTGGGAAAATGGGTCACATTTCTCAACACTAGCCTAGGGATACCCCAGAATTTCCTTGACTGCATGGGCAGTACTCAGGATTGGGAGGGGGTTGAGGGCCACTACAGCTTGTGGTTGTAAATGCTATATGAATAAATCCAACTGAAACTTATTTACATTCTATATAACCCAGGATGTACTACCATGCATCCAAGGGAGGAATCCAATGTAGCAGGACTCCAAAGTGTCAGAAGAAATGGTACAGTCTTCAAAATTACATTTATTATCTATACTGAACTGAGATTATCACAACACATACACACACACACACATATCCAGGAAGAAAAAGCAGTATCAAGGACTTGTCCTTGAGCAAGGTATGTTAAAAAAATGGATTTGTGGGGGGAGATGTGTGCATGATACTTCTCTTATATCAGACACAAGAACATTCTAATTCCTACTCTGAATACAATGTCCCTGGGTTCAGAATTCTGCCCTGGAATCTGTCATGGTCTTTAAAAAATTACAGCTAGGGGAAATGAGGACACACTAGGTGATTCAAGGTGCTTTGTGACAATTATTACAGAGACACCCCTCAAATTCACCCAAGATATGGATCTCACGGTGACAATACACACACCCTATCAATACTATGTTGGACAGCTCCCTCAACCTCACTCTGAGTCCTTCCAGTTTTCCCTGACTCTCCTTCAAGACAAGGGCTAGGATAGTCAATCCTCAGATGTGCAGAAAAACCCTAGGATTAACCTCTGCCTGGCCATCCAGCACACTGTCCACATGGTCTAAGCCTTCTCAGCATTGTTTTTCAAGGTCAGCTATGTGGCAAAACCTCAGACTTGAACCCTGAGACCCAGATCCAGTAGCTGTAGGAACACTGTCGTTTAGAAGTAACTGGCCCCAAATCACTTGACCTGACTTGAGAAACAGCAGCTATGTGTGAGAACGTGGTTTCGTGCAAGGGAAGCCCTCACGCTCCTTTGTCTGAGAGCACAAGAAACCTAGAAGCAGAGAAGTGGAGGCGGGGTTACTCCCACACCAAGTCATTTAATGTGCTGATTCCCATTCCCTGTTGGCTGTTTCATAATTTGGTTTCCCAAGAGATCTGCCTGCTCTAAACTCACCTGTGTCCGGGGAATGGAAGCAGAGGGTGGGGGAGAAGGGAGGGCTAGAGAGTTGGAGAGAGATCTGGGGAGGGCCATTTGCATGATCAGTTGCTTACATGTTATAGCCATTTAAAAGCGGGCATAGGGAGGCATCCACAATATGAAGGACTTGACGAAGTAAAATATTAAGCATGTGTCCCAAGATCTATTTTCTAAATAACTACCAAAAAAAAGGTGTTGTGAGTGAGCAGGCTCTGGTAAGAGCAGAGACTTCTCTCATTTCTAGGTTTTCAGCAACCTTGTCATAACATTCCATTGTAAAACCAAAGTCTAGAGACACTTGAAAGGAATTTAGGTACAGTGAGTCAGTTCCTATTCTAATAGAAAGAGTCTTTATTAAAATACCAGACATACCTCCAGCTTTCTTTGGTATTTCTCTCAATGACCTCAGCCTTAGGGACACACCCCAGAGTGGGCTTTTTAGAAGCGACAGATGAACAGTGACCACTTACCTAAAAGTATAATCCTTTGTGAATGTGACCAGGAAGTCCTGTTTTTAGGAGGCAGGTTTCCATGTGTTGCAATGTGCAAATAGCCTCTCAGCAGTCCAAAGGATATTTGGCTATCTTTCTGTGAACCCAGCCGAGGTTCCTTCCTTCTTTTACAGCCCTAATGAGTCATGGTCTGCCTCAATAATGTTACTTAGAATTAATTATGAGCAAGATCTAGAGTAAATGACACAATTCAGATTTCCCTTTGTATCCCGACAGAGAAGTACAATGCATTGTCACCACCATCCACGATCCAATGCCAGCAGAGACCGAAGGCCGTGAAGGCTAATGGCTAATGGCCCTGTCAACGCCTACCGACTCAGCAGTAGCAGCATCAACCTGGCGTTCTGACAAATCTATCCCCGAATTTGTTTTTTCAGCGCACTCCAAGAAATGTCAGCACGGCCAAGGATGCCACCCCCACCCCCCACCAAAAGCCACCACCCTTGTTTTACCTTCCTCCAATTCATCCATGCTTCCGATCTTCCTGGATCCATCAATGGTGTAAATGTAACGCACTCCCTGAGGCAGGTTGATGTTGTCAGACAGAGATCGAGTCAGGTCAGCCAGCAAGGCGTCAAAGCTGCGAAAACGGTCAGAGGACACAGCGTACACAATCCCCTTGAAGTAGCGGTCCCCATTGCGGTAGAAACGTACCTTCTTGGCTTTCTTCTCATTGCTCAGCGCCTGCAAGGTTCTGGTTCGGTAGAAGCTACAATGGGCACTGTGAGTGGGGCTGGGCAGCCCATTCATTCGTGAGCCTCGCATGTTCCTGGATGTCTTATCTCTTTCATCAAAATGTCCAAAATCAAGTTCCATATTTCGGGGGAACCTCAGACACCTGAGTGTTGGACAAAGGGGGGTGAAAAGAGGCAAGGAAAAAGGGGAAGAGGGGGAGAATTCAAATATTAGCCAGATCCAGTTTTGCAATCTGCTGCTTGTAAAAAGAACTGGTTGAAAAAAGCCCGTGACCCATCTGCTGCTTGCCCCTGACCTGCAGGAATATTGATCTTAATAGACAAGAAGGAGGGGCTGGGGGTGCTGTTGTGGTGGGGGGTTGGGGTGAGAGATAGGGAGGGAGGCACTCTGGGCGCTGTTCCAAACAGGGGAGAGGGAGGGATTTTGAAATTGCTTGAAATCCTGGGACTTATTGACAGTGGCTCCTATCAAATTGTAACTTCGGGCTAAATACATTAAAACTGGCATCTGTTTCCTCACACATGCCCACATGACTAACAGTTGTAAATGAATCCATAGCCTGACAAAATCCCCTTGAAGAGAATAGAAGGCGCTGGCTGACGTTCACATCTCCAGTTTAGGAAGCAATCTTTGTGCCTCAGTAAAAGGACTACGGAGGGGAAGATTTTTCTTTTATTCCAAACCCCCTTGCCTACTCTAATGTGTGCATCCCTCCCCACCCGACCCCCCAGAATAAACCAGGATTCTCCTTTAAAGGGACAGCCTCCAGGGAATAGCTGGTGTCTTTGTACTATTCATCGAACCCTTTCCCCACCAAGCTGGGGCAGCTTTCCAACATTCATAAGAAATAAGCTGGGGGAAAAAAAAGGATTAGAAAAAAATCAGTTATTTAAGAAGTTACTAGCTCTGCTTTCTCCCTGGTACCATTTGGTCACAAAATCATTTCCTTTCTTTTTTAATTTTTTTTAACATGTGCTCTATCCCTCCCCAACAAGGCAGCTGCATCTCTTAATGCAATAATTTAATCGTTGAAAGATTCCCAAATGAGTCCCTGGGAAGCATATGGGACCTTTCGAAACAAGCACACCTTTCATTGTTCTGGTTTTCTACCCTGACCGATGGGGCATTTGCCCCTCAAGGAAGCAATTCACCTCCAAACTTGTCTATTGCCCAGGTGCGTTAGCTGAGGCAAAAGATGGTCATTTGTCAGATTTGCTTTTTCCCCTTCTGCTGAGCCAGAAAGAGAGAAAGAGAGAAAGAAAAGAAAGAAAGAGAGAGAGAGAGAAAGAAAGGGAGAGAGAGAAAGAAACAGAGAAAGGGAGAAAGAATCAGAGAAAAAGGGAGAGAAATCCAAACATAAAACCAAACACAACAGAAGCCTCGAGCATTAGCAAAGGTAGTGACCACAGCCTAGGAACCCAACTATTAACATGCATCTCACAGATGGGGATAAAAGGACTCACAGAGCAAGCAGGGCTCAGCTGCTACACACTGCCACATCAAGATATTTGCAAGGGACCAGGAGGACAAGAGATAAAGGAGGACTGGTGCCTAGGAGGCTTGCCAGGCTTGATCCCCCTTTTCTTCCAATGTCACCATGACCTGTGCTGAGCTCAGCATTGTCTCTGTCTGACAACCTGCAGTGGTGAGAGACCCCACCTCCTCAAGACAAGTAGCAAGCATTTCCCCGGGCATGCCAGTAACACTTGGCTTTGCTTTAGAATCACGGGTGGTATTATTCTAAATCAACATCACAGTGAAAACAAATGAACATCAAACTCACTTTTCCAAAGGAAAATCCCAGGTAGAGGCTTAGGAAAAAATCCGATAGAATAAGGCAAAATAAAATTTAAGGGAAAAAAAAGGAGAAGGAGAAAAAGAGAGAGAGCTAAAGCGAGCCCTTTGCCTTGTGCTTTTACCGCTTGGCATCTGTTACATTCTGCCTAAAAATCACTGGAAAGCCCCACTCACCGGTTTTCTGCTGGTTGGGTGGAGATGCTGAGAGAAAGAAAACCAATCTCTCTATGCCTTTGTTGTCTGAGCTCCAAGCAAGAAATTCCTGCCAGGGTGGATAGATGCCTTCTAGGTCCTAGTGCCTTGTCCAGCTTCTCCCCTATAACTCAGGCTTAGTGAATCCCCCCAACTCCTATGATTAATTACATGCTTTTTTTTTTTTCAATTCACAGGCTGCATTAACAGCTAGAAAGGTTTCATTTATAACCAACAGGAAATTGCAGGGTGGCAAAAAGATTGCACAGGCAAGTGCAGAAGTTCTAATGAGCAATGTGCTAGCCCCCCCCCACCCTCTTTTTAAAAGAGAATTGGCAATTTCATTTGGCCAAAACCTTGGTCTAATCTGCCTGGGGACCAGACTCAGGCAGTCAAACCAGGCTTCTTAGAAATTGTAGCTCTCTTCCTCTCACCTTCTTAAGACAAAACAATCTAACCTGAACGTTCTTGAAGACATCTTTACTTCATCCATCCAACAACTGGTTGTTTTTGAAATAAGGTCAGTGGTGTAGACTACAAGGAAGAACAAAAAAGACAAGACAAGGGAAAAGATTTCCAGAATTTCATGGGGGATGATGTCGGCAAAAGAACCCCAAAGACCTTTTAGCTTGCTACAATAACCTGGTTAATAGGATCTGTGGCATTTACCTATGAGAGTCTGTGAGTTCAAATCCAACCCAGAGACCTTTCCATGTGAAGTGAGTCTGATGGCTACAAGATAAACATTAATGGCTCCTCAAACTTCCTGTTGGTTATGAAATGTCTTCTTTATATCAAATATGTTAGAAAAGGGAAGGAAGCAACCACATTAAATGTATTAAATCAAATCAAACTATAAGAAAAAGAAGGGAAAGGTGAGAGAGTAAAGGAGGGGTGGGCTATTATCTTCACAACAGAGGCTATGTGTATTAACAGGCAGAGTCTTGAAACACCCGTGACTCCATTGTCGCTTGGCTTCCAGAAAGCTCAGAGCTAATAGCAGGGTCCTTAATGATCTTCTATATGATTCCTAATACAATTCACCCTCCTCTTTAGATACAGCTGTTGATGACTAAGTAAGCATTTTTTTGATGCATGTGTTTTACTATAAGATGCCTCAAAACAGGATAAAAAAAATGACATTCCTTTTCGGGAAGGTGTTGGCAAAGGAAGCCTAAGCTGTCCATGTCAGGGGGTAGACAGCCCCCATGTGCAACCTGCCTCATCAAGGTTGTCCAGCTTGCTGTTGCTCTTCTGGCTGCCAAATAACTAGCTCAGGGGATCGCCTGTGTCCGGTGTGTTCTCTTCCATTTGTCTCTGCCTTACATTGTGGCCATCTCCAGAAAGATAGGGGTTATTCAGGTCAAGGGCAGACACATATCAAGGAATAAGGGCAGGAAAATATGGAAATTCTGGACAATAGTTGTAGCTTCCTGGTCGAGCAAGGTCAATGTCTTAATTTTTTTTTAAAATTGTACATCATAAGTGTTTCATAAATATAGGGTGATTGGCATTGTATCAGAACTCAAATATTTTTTTATTTTCTGGGGAGGATAGAGGAATGGATGGGATGATAAAACTTAAAGGTAAAAGGTTTAGAATAGATTTTAGAAGGGATTTCCTCATGATCTAGACTTTGCAACATTACTGTGGAAGCTGCAAGTTGTCTTTAGGAGACCGTCTGAGGTAGATGATTTTGTGTTTACATCCATCAAAGAGCAGACAGGTGAACAAGATCAAGGTTTCCCCTTGTGAGGTATGTGGATGTTAATGGGTAGTCTTTAAAAACAGACAAAAATGGTTCTTTGGTCAAAAATGTTTAAGAAGTGTGGGGATAAGCTAAATTTGTTTTCTTTACCATAAAATTTCTCCTTTAATATGCATAAAATATGGCATACGTCTCTAAAAAGGAATTCAGTATAAAGGGCTTCCTGCTTTAAAAAAAGAAAGAAAGAAAGCCAGCAAGCTCAGGGGCGCCTGGGTAGCTCAGTCCGTTAACCATCTGCCTTAGGCTTAGGTCAGGTCCCCAGGGTCCTGGGATCAAGCCCCATATCAGGCTCCCTGCTCAGCTCCATCTCCCTCTGACACTCCCCCTGCTTGTGTGCTCTCTCTCTCTCTCAATCTCTTAAATAAATAAATAAAATGCTAAAAAACAACAACAACAACTCAGAACCTCTTTTTCCAGAGCATCTCATGGACTAATGTTTTGTGGATCAACGTTTTGCAAAAAATGAGCTAGATCATTTCACAAATATGCTTCCTCTCAAAGAGCTCTCAGCTACTCATCAGGATTTTTCTCTCACTTCCTCAAAAAAGGAGAATCAGTGCCGGAAAAGAAGAGCTTAGGCATGAGTCCAGGGATAAAGTATATCATTATATATGGAAGTTAACTTTGACATCAAGGGAGACTCATGTTTGAGGTCTCAATGGAGTGAAGAGATTGAAGGGAAAAGATTGTGGGAAAAGTAGCAGTGAGACCTTTTTGAGTAATTCCCATGTGCTCACACTCACTGTCCCTGGAGAGCTTAAAGACTCACTGAGACAGGACAAAAATCATGAAGGGGAAAGACTTAGATCGTTCTTGATATGTTATGGTCTTGGTTAATCAAATTCCGCTTAAAGATCAGGATCAAGGGGTGCCTGGGTGGCTCAGTGGGTTAAGCCTCTGCCTTCAGTTCAGGTCATGATCCCGGGGTCCCGGGATTGAGCCCCACATCGGGCTCTCTGCTCTGCAGGGAGCCTGGAGCCTGCTTCCTCCCTTCTCTCTCTCTGCCTGCCTCTCTGCCTACTTGTAATCTCTCTCTGTCAAATAAATAAAATCTTTAAAAAAATTTAAAAAAAAATTAAAAAAAAAGATCAGGATCAAATAGCAAGACCATTCATCACACACACACACACACACACACACACACAGAGTAACTAGAGTACATTACCTATCAAAAACACAGAGAATAGGATCTGGAGTAGGACAGTGTAAGCAATAGGAAGTGAAGCTGAAAATATATACAAACTGTTTACAGGAACCACAAAAGTATAAAGTACATAGGAATAAATCCAACAAATATGTATAAAACCTTTATTGAGAAAATCCTAAAATGATTGAAGAACATAACAGACATTGTAAATAAATGTAAAACCAGACCATGTTTATGGATGGCAAGAAGCAATGTTGTAAGGGTATCTACCCTCCCTAAAGTAATCTATATCTATATATGAAGAAATTCAAATAAAAACCCCAAGAAAAATTTTTGTGAAATTCATAAATATCTGTTGTGATGAAATATCTGTTATTGTAAGGCTTAAATGAGTAAATATATGTAAAGTGCTTAGAACAAACCCTGGCACATAGTATATATGATACAGGTATTAGTTTTTATTTTCCCTAAAATATTCACAGGGCATCTCCTTCATTCCTTTCAAATCTTTGCCCAAACAACAACTTCTCAACAAGACCAACCCAGACCACCCTATTTAAAGTTACAACTTTCTCTCTTGAGGAAGCACTCCTAATTTCCTTTATCTTGCTCTATTTTTTCCATAACATTTATCATCTTCCAACATACTACATAATATACCTCTTTATTATGTTTATTATCTATCTTGCCAAATAGAATATAAGCTCCACAAGGCCAGAAATATTCTAACAGCTTAAATGAAATACAATTCACCACACTGATAGTAACATCTTTGTTTTTATTTTTTAGAATTTATTTATTTATTTGAGAGAGAGAATGTGTGTGTGTATGAGAAGAGGGAAGGGCAGAGGGAGAGGGAGAGTGTCTCAAGCAGACTCCCTGCTGAGTGCATAGCCGAATGTGGGGCTCAATCTCAGGAACCTGAGATCATGACCTGAGCTGAAATCAAGAGTCGGGTGCTTAACTGACTGAGCCACCAAGAATTTAAAAAATTCTTTTTTAAAATTGTTATTATTTATTTATTTGACAGAGAGGGAGAAAGATATATCACAAAAAGGGGGTGGGGAGAAGAAGCAGGCTCCCCTGCCAAGGTGAGAGCCCAACACAGGACTCAATCCCAGGACTCTGAGATCATGACCCAAATGAAAATAGTCACCTAACTTAGCCACCCAGGTACCGCTTAATACTATATGCAATGCCTAGAACAATGTCTAATACATAGTAGGTCTGGGTATTTTTTAATTGGATTCAGTAAGGGAAGCATGGAATATTCAAAAGATGGTATTGGGACAATTAACTTTCATATGAAAAAAATTAAATTAGATCCACGCTTCACACCATCATAAAAATAAACTCCAGATGTCTTAAAGACCTGAATATAAAGAACAGAACTTTACAATTATTAGACTAAAATATGGGAGATTCTCTTTCAAAAAGCAGAAATCTCATAGGGAAATATTTGTAAATTTGATTACACGAAAATGTAAAGCTTCTGAAGGTGAAAGAAAGCATTCAAACATTAAAAGATAAGTAACAAATTGAGAAAATATATTTAAATCTTATGTAACTAACAAGGAAAAATGTCCTGAGATATATAATATAAAGTTATATCAATAAGGCAAAGGCAAAACTCCAATAGAAAAAAAAATGAGCAAAGGTTTAGTCCAGGTTGTTCACAGGAGAGGAAACCTTGATGGCCAGTAAACCTGTGAAAATATGCTCAACCTCATACATAACTAAGGAAATCCTAGTTAAAACAGAAATTACATATTTTGCAACCATTAGATTGGTAGAAATTTTTAAAATATGGCATAGCGGGTACAGACAAAAACAAAAAACAGCTGGAACTCCCATACAATGTTGGAGGAAACAAATTGGTACAATTTTGGAGAGCAGTTTTGGGCAGTAGCTAGTAAAGTTGAAAATGTGTATCAATCTACGATACAGAAATTTCATTTCTAGATGTCCATGCTAGGGGAATGCTCACACATGGGTTCAAAGAGACCACTACAAGGATATTTATAAAGGTATTATTTGAAATCTGTGAAAAAATGGAAACAACCCAAATGCCCGTCATCAGCATACTAATTTGATTAGTGGTTATTCATACGTGGAATGTTATACGCAGTGAAATAGAATAAATGAGTGTTAAGTGTAAGTGGT